AAAAAAAAAAATGTAACCATAATAACTTAAAAATCAAACTACAAAATGAACTGTAGAGTGTAAGCATATCCAGAGACAAGGGAACTGTCCAGGATTAAAAACATCAAATTGTCAACTATGGTTTTCTCTACTAAAAAATAATTCACTGTCATCAAGTCATAACTGACCTACAGCTGACTCTAAATCAGGTCTCTCAGGCTGTAAGTCACATGGCAGGATCCTGTCCATCTTTCTCCAAGTAGCTGGTTTTCTCTAAGTTTCTGTTTTGTAAGAAAATTATCATTTCTGTCAAGGTGTTGGTGGTATAGTGGTTAGCATAGCTGCCTTCCAAGAAAATGATCATTTTCATTATCAGGAAAATTTTTCTGTTACTATTGTTAAAGGGGAAACTTGCTGAAGCATAGGAGAAGATGGGAAGTCTAACTCATTTTGAAAGCAAATATAAATCTGATCATAAGCTCTGACAGGGAAAGTATAAAAACAGTAAACCACATGCCAACTGTACTTAAGGGTTACAAATGCAAAAGCCTTTTAAAATATATTAGCAAAGCAAAACAATTATATTTAAACAGGATAATATAATGAAGTAGATCGCATTCTAGTAATTAAGGGCATAGTGTTAATTATAAGGACCAGGAAAGGGAAAGAAATCCATATTTAATACAATATAAGAGAATTTGCTTTAAAATTGATTTTTAATTAAACACAAAAGCTGAAAATCAAATACTAGTTCCTTAACTGTAACATTATTTAACAGTACTCTAGAAATTTTAATCAATGTAATAAGATAAAGAAACACATAAGAAACAGTTAAAATAACCATAAAGTACAGACTGATAATAGTCTACTTGAGAAGCTTAGGAGAATCAACTGAAAGACAAGAATAACAATAAAAAAATTGAGCACAGGGAACAACTATAAAGGCAATCCTAAAAAGATGTTTAAATAATCATTACTTGCTGATGGATAATACTCTACTTGGGAAATTTAAGACAATCAACCTAAAGATTATAAAAAAGAATAAGAGAGTTCGATATGGTGATCAATCATAAAGTGAAATGAATGGAGGGTAATATATTAAATAAATTAAAGTAATACTAGTTTTAAAAAAAGGAATACTAGTAAGAATTTTTTAATCTTATCATTAAAAATTTACTCATATAAAAATACCAAACACAAAAACAAGCAGCCCGCTGCTACTGAGTCACTTCTGGCTCACAGCAACCCTGTGCAGGGTGTTTAGACTTCAACTCTTTGCCAGAGGAGACTGCCCATCTTTCTCCTATGGAGCAGTCAGTAGATGTGAATCAATAACCTTGAGATTAGTAGTTCAACCCTTAAGGTACTCTGTCACTAGGGCTTCTCAAGCTTCATTATAATAGCAACAAAATTTAAAAGTAGCACAGCACAATTGTACAGTAAATATTGCTACAGAAATAAGCGAAAGTATTTGTTCCACATTGGCAATAATATGAATTCTTCCTGAGTAAATGAATAAATATACTACATGTCTATTCAATAAACCGTTTGGAATTATTTTACTGGGGACAGAGTAGTAACTGAGACACAGAACAACATTTTTCTAGCAAAGTCTCATTAAATTCTTCTAAAAGATCAATGAAGGAGAATATGGAAAAGCCATGAAAAGTGGTAATGAATGAAGCATTAAACAAATAATTGGATATAAGATCATTATTAAAAGAAACCCTACAAAGAAATGATGCCGGAAGTTTTGGCTTCATTAAGGAAGCAGAATAGAAGGTGCAGAGAGAGTGTAGGGCTATGAAAACTTCATGAATGAATTATAGAACATTTCACACTAGAAGGAGGAAAGGAAGAGAAAAAAATTATTTAACAGATATTAAAAAAATAAAGTTAGATATTTACAATGAATCAAAATAAACTTGAAATATTTTAAAGATTTATATATTTGGAAAAAATCAGAAAAAAAGAACTACTTATGAAAGTCCTTCCCAACTCTGAGCTTCCCCACTCCTACTGCCACATGAACAAGCCATAGGAAAAAAACAGTGATATAGATAAATTTTAAAAACATATTCAGTCAAAAAAATGTCATCTATAAAACCTAAAGCCAAATTAATAGAAAAAACATTTATTATACTAAATATGTCATCTCAAAGCAAAATTTGGTTAATCATATATAGAGTACTTTCAAATTAAGAAGTAATATGATCAGGTTAAGGACATATAATGCAATTCGTAAAGGAAGAAACATAAATGTTCAATAATCACATGCCATTGTTACCTCAAAGTGTAAACAACAAGAAAAATGCATATTCTTTATTGTGACATAACATTTTCACCCATCAGAGAGTTCTGAAAAGATAATCATTTGACGTGGAAATATAATTTTGCAATATGTATATTCAAAAGTTTTAAAATTTGAAACAACCAAAATCAAGAAACTTCACATTTAGGAATTTGTTCTAATATAGGACAGTAATTTGGCTACACTGAAAAATTGTTTATAATCAGAAATAATCAAACTGTCCAACAAGAAGACATTGTTTAAATGTATCAGAGATCTAAATGTGAAACACTAAATTACACATTTACTGGAAGAAAAC